AGAGACAGAGAGTGAGTGGGGGGAGGGGCAGAGAGAGAGGGAGACAGAATCCAAAGCAGGCTCCAGGCTCTGAGCTGTCAGCACAGAGCCCGACGCGGGGCTCGAACTCACGGACCGTGAGATTGTAAACTGAGCCGAAGCGGGATGCTCAACCGACTGAGCCACCCAGGCGCCCCTCCTTCCTTTTATTCTAATTAAAACTATAAGCCATTATTCCTCAGGCCTTTTATAGATTCTGGTTTTTTTTTGCCCCCTCACCTTTAAGAGCCTCTGGCTGTGGAGCAGGTAAATCACAGCTTGCGGAAGGTTTCCTTATCCTCCACATTCGTCAGGTGATCAGGATAGAGATCTAAGGGCAGAGCTGAAGCCAGAAGCCGAGGAGAGCGGCTCCCCAGGAGGCAGTAAGCTCAGTTATGTGACCATATGTCCCTGTCATATACACGCACGGTCCTTTATTTGGTCACAAAGGTCACACTACCGCCCTGCCTGAGCATACGATCCAGTTCGGAAATTGGAAACAGATTTATGTATACACTCACAGACCAACACAGGCTCAGCCTTCTGGTCGCTCTCCTCAGATTTTATCTCACGACTGGAGATCTTCAGATAAGCTTCTTTGAGTCCAGTTTTGTCACCCACTTCTCCATCTCAGCAAGATGAAATGGGCTGAGGGTGAGTGAGCGGATTAGGTGGGCAGGCTGATTAAGAAAAACAGCACAACACAGAGGAAAACAAAACACAGCACTTCTGTGGTATTTGAAATGAGTTGTTCTTTGAACGCAATAGGAAAAGTGCCAAAGAACCGATCCTAACTTGCTTTGAGAACTGGAGAAGGAGTTCCTAACGGGGTGACCCTGGCACTGGGGGGATGGGCAGAGCAGAAGTGTCATGGAAAGTGATGTCTGGGTGGAGGACCAGGTGTGGAGAGGAGATGTCAGGCCTGGCGGGGGGCGACTGAGGAGAACCTCAGATGAGGGCGAGGCGGCCTTGGGTTCTGCAGGGAGGGTGGTCGAGTGGCCCTGGTGTGTGGCCGGGGAGCAGGGGCAGGTGCTGTTGTGAGGGCTAACGAGAAGAAATGTGGGAAAATGGATGAACAGAGGGCGCTCGGGGAGAGGTGAGTTGTCGCAGGGCCAAAGGGGAGCCGACAGGACAGTCTGGGGAGCGTGTGAGGCACAGAGGACAGGTTTCTGCTTGGATCCAAGAGCCCAAAATTCCAGGGGAATGACCAGAGGGAACAAGCAGGGCTCTTTTGATGAGAGAAACCCAGACCTCCCATATGCGTGAAGGAAGCCAGTGGAGCTGACGGTGGCAGCTTCATGATGATGGAATCCAACGCCGTATTGCCGAGGCAAACAGAGAGCAGGTAGATGAGAGATCTTGAACCGATTTCCAAAGCAGCAACCAAAACATAACTCCAGTAGACCTAAGGAAACCACATGTCAGAATATGTGGTCTCAACACCCGTATCTTACTTAGGATTGTGCTCCGTCTCTCACCCTGAGGTAGCTTTGTCAGTGCTTTTTAAAAATGTTCTTTTTCAGGGGCGCCTGGTGGCTCAGTCGGTTAAGCGTCCGACTTGGGCTCAGGTCATGATCTCACGACCAGGGAGTTCGAGTCCTGGATGGGGCTCTGTGCTGACTGCTCAGAGTCTGCTTCGGATTCTCTCTCTCTCTCTGTCTCTCTCCTCTCTCTCTCTCTCTCTCTCTCTCTTTCTCTGCCCCTCCCCCACTCACACTCTGTCTCTCTCTGTGTCTCAAAGATGAATAAACATTAAAAAAAAATTTCAAAAATTTCCTCGTCTGCCTCAGAGCCTGGAGCTTGCTTCTTTCTGTCTGAGGAGGCCAAGCAGCCAACCAGCTCAAGATTTATACAGCAGATCATGGAAGAAAGCACTTCTGTGTTTTGTTTTGTTTTGTTTTGTTTTGTGTTTAAACAAAGCCCAGTGGCTCAGAACCCTTCTAAATAAAGGGCACACTTCCAGTTTTGAAAGCCACGTGTGAAGTCTGGTTAGCGCTTCTCCGCGATCTGTCGCATTTGAATCCTGTGGTACCTTTTCAGTGCAGAACTACTTTCCGGTGAAATCAATGTCCTAGCATGGCAGTTCAGGCCTGGGAGGGCTTATTCTCTGCATCACTGTTACCAAGTAGAACCTCAAGTTTCTAGAACCATCCTCGCTCTGCATATGGCCTCCTTGGGTAGGGATTCTGCTCTGCTTTCTGACAGAAACCCTATGGGCTTCTGTCCGATCAGCGTGTTGGATAATTCGTCGAAAGTGTAAGGCTGTGTAAGCTGTCACACCGTATTCCTACAGATTGGGGTAAAGCCCCAGCTCTTCTGTTAGCGTCTGGCAAGACCAGCTTATTGTTTTCCGTTGGCCGAGGCTCACTGGAGGATTTGCGGTGAATTTGTTAGTGAAGAATTGGGTGGGACCCTTTCATCAGCTTTCTGTGTTGTACTCAGCATTCTGAACTCCCTTCCGAGGGGATCAGCATCCTGGCCTTCAAGGTTAAAAAACAGTCACATTAAAAAAAACCAGAAAACCAACAGATTATTCAACTGCGACAAGGGACAGGGTGCTGTTACGTGCTACAATATGGGCGAATGTTGAAAACATGGGAAAGTAACCATAAAAAAGGCCACATGTTGCACGATTCCGATGATAATGAAACATCCAGAATAGGCAAACCTGGAGAGAGGAAAACTAACTAGTGGCGAGGGCTTGCCAGGACCTGGGATGGGAAGGAGACGGGGAGTGCTTGCCAGTGGGTATGGGGTTTCTTTCTGAGATGCTGGAAAGGTTCTGGAACCAGATAGTGATGCTGGTACAACATAACGTTGCAAGTGTACTTCATGCCATTGAGTTCTGTCCTTTGAAACAGTTAACTTTTATGTTATTTACAATAAAAACATACCAAGGAAATGTCAATTCTGGTTCGCAGCTGTTTATTTTCTCTTACGCAGGTATTTTGCAAATGAGCCATTTGCTGACTTCCACCGAGTGGAAGGGTTACAAGGAGTCTACATTGCTACTCTGATAAACGGTTCTATGAATGAGGAGAACATGAGATCAGTCATCACCTTTGACAAAGGTGGCACCTGGGAATTTCTTCAGGCGCCAGCCTTCACAGGATATGGAGAAAAAATCAATTGTGAGGTATCGATGCTTTCATCTTGTTTGGGCTTTTAATACAAATTTTTATGTGGCGATCTGCCCTTACAGTTCCCAAACTCAGCACCCAGACACCCGGAGCTGCCGTGGTGAACTCCCAGGGGCACCTGGGATGTTTTTAAGGGAAACACATGACAACGTGATATTTGTTCGTCACCCTGTGAAATGCTGTCTTGAGTTAGTTCCTAGTTTCAACATTACTTCATGCTGTATTTCTTTGGGAGGCATCGTTCCTTGGTGAAGCTGGATTTTCTAGCAGGTGATAAGATAAAAAGCAAGTGGGAAAATCAGGGTGGAGCAGGAAATGACATTGGTATGATTCTAAACTTTGAGAAGTTACGTAGTACCCATCAGGTGCACATATCCCGTATTAAGCAAATGTGGTTATTTAAGAATGAAATAGAAATTTTGTTTTCTTTCTCTTTCTCTTTCTGTGTATATGTATATATGTGTGTGTATATATATGTGTGTGTGTGTACATGTATATATACATATGTATATATATATGTTTTTTTGAGCTGCTACTAAGTTATTAGAACATGTATACTTATTTAAGTTGCTTGGCCTTAACTACTTAAAAAACAAGTGTTGGTATTTCTTCTGGCCTGAGGCTGCTATAAAAAATTCATGGGGATACGAATTATGTTGTGAACCAGAAAAGTTTTGGAAACTCTGACATTTAAAGTCCCACATTGATGTGGAACTTGAAAAAAAAAATGCTTTCTTGAATAGAATTTAGGATTCTACAATTTTCCCAATCAGTGGCTCCATCTGAAAAGCTGAGAATATGAAAGGTATTAGTTGGTCTCACTAAAGGGTTCCCCCTCCCCTAGGTGGCTCCTTTCTTGTCTCTTGGAAGAACAGTGCGTTCTTGGCTTTGAGTTCCTTGGCCTTATGTGACATCCCACACCTCCACTTTCGCCTTGCACAAGGGATCTGGGGTATATAAAGTAGGTGGGCAGAAGGAACTCAGAAAAACTCGAGTGGCAGCAGTCCTTGGAAAAACCGTAAGAGTTAGACGGTCACCTGGTCTTTTGGGTTTTTGAATTTTGTTTGTCCACGATTGTGTCGACTCTACTGTATGCTGTATCTGTGGCCATTGGGAAATTTGTTTTGGAGGCTCTTGCTTTCCCCAGGCTTCTCGGTTACTCTTCCCTATTTGGCAACAGGTTTCGGCTTACCACATGGAGTCTCACTTGGGGAAGAGGCAGGATAGAAGTAGATAAGAGACAAACATACAGGTGCTTCTTTATTCAGGAGTGTCTTCTAGATTTGGGGAGTGTTTCGTGAGTCTGTGTGGATGGGGGTGGGCTGCTTTTGAGTGTCCGCTGGGGGTCTGAGCCCTAGTTGTATAGAATTAATGGTGTTGTTGAAACTCCGCTTATTCCCCTGACTGATCTGTTTAGTTATGAGTTGTACAACAGTTGGTCGAGCTTTTCGTTTCTGCTTGTGAGTTTAGGTGGTGAAAGAACAGGCTGGTCGGCACATCTTTCTTTGAGACCCAGCCTAACTTGCTCCAGTTTTCATTTGCGAAACTGCGATGCCAGCAAGGTGGACGTTTGTTAGATCCTTTTTTATAAAAACCAGCGTATCTTGCAGACCATGTCAACTTTTACCTATTAACGTGAGCGCACCCAAGAGTTACCCCGTCTAGAACACCAGACGTGGCCGAATGACATTCGACCAGCACATTCTGGCCAAGGGAATCAGGCCTGACCACACAGCAAACGGCTTTGTTTGCAGAACTATTAAAATCCGAATGTGAAGTGGTGGAGGCAAGTTTGAGTAACTCATTTTGCAGTGGACGTTCATCGCAGGGCTGGTTCTTCGGACGAATGCAGACTGCATCACAATTGTTTTCATGTGGATTTTTAGATCTCATGTGTTGTACATCTGGGAGCTTTATGACTTCTGATCCTTGGTGTTTCCTCTGACGGCGTTGCGTAAATCCTATTTGCAATTGATCTCTCCTGACTTAAACAACGAGTGCCCTGAAATCATTTCATTTCTCTTCGGTCCCAAATCACGTGAGAGTTATCTCTGGGTAATCTAGAGGGAGTGATAGCTTTCGATCTATTTGAGTTGACACTGATTTCTAATTGCCATTCTCCGAGACTCTCCGAAGGAATGTTTTAATTTTATTTTTCTCTTTTCTTCAGCGGGAGGCATTTGTGTGGTTCGGATAATCGCATCCACCTGGGGTGGGAGGGGGGACGGTGTGGGGACAGCTGGGGCGTGAGTTCTGGTTTCCTCTGGGCCAGATTCCCTTTTCGCTGTGTGTGGCTGCAGTGTTTTCACACGGGCCTCCGTGTTTTGGGGGAGCAGGAGGCATCCTGTCACGTGCTGATGGGGTCTGGAACTTGTGTCCCGTAGCTCGCCCAGGGCTGTTCCCTCCACCTGGCCCAGCGGCTCAGCCAGCTGCTCAACCTTCAGCTCCGGAGGATGCCCATCCTGTCCAAGGAGTCCGCTCCCGGGCTCATCATTGCCACTGGTAGGTCTGCGTTGCTGCTTCTCACTTAGGCCCTGAGCTCTTTGGTTACACGCAGCCGAATACGCGGTGACCACGGACACCTGCCGCGGCAGGTGCCGTTTGTGGTTTTGAGACGTTCTCAGTCGCTAAATACCACTTCGGATTCCTAGCTGGGCAAGGCGGGTATCTGACATATTCTTGAAATTGAAAGTCATTATTCCTCTTGCATTTCAGGGTCAGTGGGAAAGAACTTGGCAAGCAAGACGAACGTGTACATCTCCAGCAGTGCCGGAGCCCGATGGCGAGAGGTCAGCTCCACCCCCCCCCCCCCCCCCCCCCCCCCCCCCCGACCCCAACCTGCCCCCAGCCTCAGCCCGTGTTCTTGTTTGTCTGAGAACACGATTGGGCCTCAGCACTTCAGGAACACTTGTGGCCTCAGGTGGAGGTCAATGGCACCAAGTATGACTACAAAATAAAGAGGGGAACCCAGAGCCACACGTGAGCGCCCGCTGCACTGACTTGTGTCCACACCTTGTAATGTGGGCTCGCGATTTTGCCGAAAGATAGCCCTTTGAATCAAAAACAGACCTTTTCTTCCCCCTGCCTTGTAAATGTAACTAAATATCCCAAGAGGACAAAGCAATGCCCAGTTTGCAGGGCCTGGCATGGGGCGGGTACGCAGCGTAACGTTTGAAGACCCTGTCAGTAAAGGACGGTGTGGGTATCTGGTGTGAAGCTGGCTGTTTTATTTATTTTTGTATCTTTTTTTCGTTAAAACTTTTTAAAAATGTTTGTTTATTTTTGAGAGAGAGAGTGCAAGCGAGGGAGGGGCAGAGAGAGAGAGGGAGACACAGAATCCGAAGCAGGTTCCAAGCTCTGGGCTCTCAGCACCGAGCCCGACGCGGGGCTCGAACCCGTGAACTGGGAGAGCGTGACCTGAGCCGAAGTGAGTCGCTCAATCGACTGAGCCACCCAGGTGCCACAGAAGACTGTTTTTACCTTAAGTTCGTAGAGCTACTTTGGGTCCTTAGGCACTGATCATACTAGTTCTGAAAGTAGGACTCGCTTTATAGTCCCAAAATGTTCATCCAGCCCTGGACATTAGAGAATTGCCAAACCTGTTAAAAAAAAAAAAAAGATGAAAAACAACGCTTTCAGCAGCCTCCCATGCCAAGGGGTTGCTTTCAGGGGCACTCTCCTGCCCGTGTGGGGAGCCACCAGGAGATCGCAACAGACTCCTGGGCAAGAATTTAACTGAGTACGTCCCGCGTGATGTCAGGAGGGATGTAGCGTTCTCAGAAGAACCAGCATCCTCACGGTGCTGCTTATTGGGGAATATGATATGTACACGTTCATATTTACTTCTTTATTTTTATTGTTTTTTCTTTGAGCGAGAGAGAGAGGGTGCAAGTGATCCAGGGGGAGAGTGGGGCAGAGAGAGAGAGAGAGAGAATCCCAGGAGGGGCAGAGGGAATGAGAGAGAGAAAGGCAGGGCTCACCCAAAGTGTGGGGCTTGTGTTTATCCAATAAGGGGCTTGAGCTCACTCGATGTGGGACTTGAACTCACAAACCGTGAGATCATGACCTGAGCCTAAGTCAGATGTCTGAGCCACACAGGCGCCCTGTACACATTTATATTTAAATATGTACTATATGAAGCATTAATAATACCCGACGTTTGTTTGGCTTCTGTACAGTTTACAGAGACCTAGCACCTCTCTCCTACGAGGTAGGGCTTGCCGTCCTTCAGGCTGAGGGGTCTGGGACCGAGACGTCATGTGTGCGTGTAAATAAAGAACCATCCAGGATGGTGGAGAACATAACTCCGTGTTCGGGTGAAAGATGTCGTTCAGGCCCAGGAGTCAAAAAGCGTGAACAGTTTGGAGTGTGGGGGGCATCCTTGCGCCGCCCCCTTGGGAAGGATTAAACAGCTGGCTTTCCTCTTCTGGGGAGCCAGACCTTCCTTTTGAAACGGGGTGTTCTCTCCTCAGCGGATAGGCTTGTGGTTTGTTTTGGACCTTCTGATGTCGGTGTCCTCTGGGATTTGAACATCTGCGAGTGCTCTCCTTCAGGGTAGAAAGCAGTGGCTTGTTCCTTCTCCAGTGAAGCAGTGTCATGTGGCCAGTGCTGGGGCCACTCTTGTGCCTCCTGCCAGGCATGCTTCATGCCCGCCAAGAGCAGCCATTGCACAAGGGATCTTATTTTTTGGAAGGAGGGGAGAGGAGGGTTGAGACCGCGTCTGTGCGAGTGGGCATCTGAGTGCGCTCAGGCGGTGTTCGCATGGGACAGTCTGGGGGGTTTGAAGGGCATGGATGGTGACAGGGGAAGTGTGAGGTAGAGATGCGGTGGGTAGAGGTTGCCCAGAAAATTGGTGACCGTACTTCTTGTTCCCCTCCCGGTACTCATGAGTAGCGTAAATTCCCCGATCCCGAGTTCTTTTCTGTGCCGTCTTTCCTTACCTTTATTTGTTGAGGACAGTAAACTCTGCATAGGAAAGGCTACGGTTTGATCAGAATTGGTCACCATCCCTAAACCGTCGCCGACCCCACAGTTAAGACAACAAGCGTTTCTGTCCCTCCCCAAAGTATCTTTCTTCCCCCTTCGCAGTCAGTCCATCCTTCTCTTGACCTCGTCCCTCCCTGCCAGATTATTAGTTAGCGTTTTCTAGAATTTTATATAAATGGATTCATAACATGCCACCAGTTTGCCTGGCTTCTGTCCCTCGTCATGGTGATTTTGAGGTGTATTCATGCGGTTTCATGTATCAAGGGCTCTTTCCCATTTTGTTGTTGATTAGCGTCCCACTGTAGGGATATTCTACAATTTGTTTATCCATTCGTCTGTTGATGGGCATTACAGTTTTTGCCGATTATAAATTATAGCGGTTATAACATTTGATCACGTGCTTTTTTTTTTTTTTTTTTTTT